TTTTATAGTATTTTTTATTTTTTGATAATTCTACTATTTACATATTTATTCCATTTGTGTTACGGCATTCAAAATCATTAAATAAACATTACAAAAGTGCCTTTAGATGTCAATATACAGGTTATTTCAATGATAAACATAAGCCTATGGCAGGTTACCATCCAGAGCAAACACTCACTGTCATTGGCCGGCTTCATGTGGGACAGCCTGAGGAGGTCCTGGTGGGACCAGCCCGCTCTGTGCTTGCACTTGGTCACAGTCCGCGCCAGGCTCATCCCGTCCTGGCTGTTGTACCAGTCCGTCACGGCCCTCCGCAGAGCCCGGCCCCACATCCCAGAGCCCTGTCTCAGCTCTTTCTTATACTGCACAAACGTGAAGAGCTGCGCGGGCGTCCGACACAAGTCTTTCAGCGCCCGTAAGGCGGCCTGCCTGGTCCTGCAGTCGGCATGCTGCGAGCAGACAGCCAGGGCGAAGAGGCTGGGGTTGGCACGGACAGCGCGGCCCTCCAGATTGGAGCGTCTGATCTCCTCCACCACCTCACAGCCCCGTCCCCCCTCGATGAGCTGCATCAGGGCCAGGGCACTCTCTATGCCCAGAGCACACTCTCTGGTGCTGTAGGTGGCGCTCTCAGAGCCGTAGCAGAGGAAGCGGCGCAGACTTACAGCTGCGGTCACCGATCTGCCCGATGAGTTCAGCACCTGTTCATTAACAACTGACAGCTGCTCTGGAAGAGATGCTGGATCCATATTTAACCGTCCTTCAGTCCTACAGACAGACCACAGCGGGCAACTCTGAGCACAGGACATCAACACTGTCAGTAGACATGCATGCATTTTGTTTTGTGCTGTAAGACTGTCAAAATAAATAACCATTAAAAACATCATATATACACACACACATAAGCAAATATTAATATAGGATAATATATACATTATTAAAAATATAAATATATATATAAAATATAAACGTAGATCTTTAAACATTTACTTAGATATCTATAGTTTATTTATATACACACATGACATAAATATTAAATATAATTTAAATATGTATATTTATATACAGTACTATGATATATAATAAACAATTAAGTATAAAAAATAAATAAATATTTACTGTTATTTTATGTATATGTGTGTATAACAAATAAAATAAATTATATTTATATATAATAAATATATAAAATAAATAAATATTATCTTGAAATATTTACTTAGATATGTATAGTTTTATACACACA